ATATATTCATATTAGAATTTATGTTACAAATATTGTACTCATATTGATATTTCTCTGTGTTAGGTGCTATCGATGGTTCTCACATAAGAATAGACAAGCCAATAGAAGACCAGGATTCATATGTTAACCGTAAACAATACTTTTCATTACATATTCAAGGGACGGTTAATCATAATATGAAATTTATTGATGTCTTCATCGGTTACTCTGGTTCTGTCCATGATGCAAGAGTTTTAAAAAATTCACCATTACGGAATAATTTGCATCAACTTTGTGGAGGTTAGTTAACACTTTATAGATATGATATAAATGAAATGTGTTGTGAGAAAAATGAATCTTCTAATATCATCAATTGTTTTAGATACTTATATTCTGATAGTGCATATCCCTGCTTGAAGCAATTAATTGTGCCATATAGAGACAATGGACATCTCACACGTGCTCAACGAAATTTTAACCAAACGCTAAGTTCATGCAGAGTAATTATTGAGCGTTTGGATGTCTGAAACAGCGATTTCGACAATTATATCATTGTAAATTAAGAGACATTGAAAGAATGGTGCGTGTGATACATGCATGTTGTGTGCTACACAACATAGCAAATGCCAACGACATGGAAATATTTGAAGAACCTATCAATGATGAAGAACCAGACATTGAAGCACGAATACAACCATTTGATATTAATTATGACGAACCAGTTGAGAATGAGAATGGAGTACACATTCGCGATACGATATGTCAACAATTATATGTGAGATAAAACTGGAAATAAAAAGTAAATACTATGTGTAATATATGTTTATATAATATATATTTATGTAACAACCGATATAATAAATTTATTAATAAGGAAATGCATTAGTATCTTACACATTAACAAACGCGTTAAAATAACGTACACGTAATAAAATTCAATAAAATAAAAAACATTAATATATCACTCTGTCATCACATCTGTTAATATAATATGAAACACAATGAAACTGTTAATATAATATGAAACACAATGAAACTGTTAATATAATATGAAACGCAATAAAGAAACGCAGTAATACATAACAAAATATCGAATACAATGTTTCTCAGTCTTTCTACATAAAATAAATAAATTTCTCATTAGCCCTACGTTACATCATTCTGTCTCATTGCGTGATTGTGATTGTGGGATAAGTTGTTTAAAAATTTCATTGCGTTCTTGTATAGCTTCATATATCTTTTTCAAATATTCATTGTATGTATTTTGCATCTGTTTCTGCACTTCAAATCGCTCTTGTCTTTCCTGTCGAATATCTTGCATTAAGGTTTCAATTTGTTGCTGATATATTTCCATACGTTTGTCTTTAATAGTTAATTGCTTTCTATTGCTTTGGGGTAATGTCTATGAACAGTAACAATTGTATATGAATATCATGTCGTATTTATTGTATATACCCAGATAGAAAAATGTGTTCATTCTGAGCTCATGTTGTATTCATGTATCTTCAGGACATGAGGACAATACACACCGATGCGGGCTCATATGTGTCTCAGATATAGTTCATGTCATGATGTCACAAAAATACCTCATTTAGTAATAATAATCAACATCATGTTATTAGCTTGTAGCATAATTTGTAGATCATTTGTGTGCATCTCGTGCTCATGTCATGAAATCACGTTATGATCTTTAAAAAAGTACCAAATTGAAGTCATAGTATGAAGTCACATTGTGATGAAACATGATCATCACGCATTTCTATCTGGTGTGACGTGGCAGCCATAGGGCGCCCGTCACAAGGGTAAACGAGCACCGTTCGTGTGATTTCGCGCATATCGGAAAAAGGGAAAGAGGGTGCATAGCGGTTCCCGAATAAGTTTTGGCGACTCAAAGCAACAGTTTTCCGCGGTCACACCGGTCGAGCGTAGAGGGGGGTAATTAGCGAAGCGTATGCGGTCCCGCTAATGGGATGGTCATCGCGCCCTACAATAATGTGCCCCCAACTCTCCTCGCCGACGCCGAAGGGCTG